GTGGATGTGGCCCTGGGAGTGTTGGGTGAATGGTTGGACTCGACCTTCGAGGGCTTTTCCAGGCTCGGTGAGGGCTGTGAGTGGGTCACACCCTTATCAAAGGCTTTGTGCTTTGGGGAAGGAGCCCTGGAATTGCAGCTCTGGAGAGAGCTGCTCCTCTGTACTGGGCTGTCTAAAGGTGTGATTTCCTCCCCTATTCCTCCCTTGGCTGCAATTCCTCAGAGAAGGACCTACTGCCTGGCAGAGCTGCAGTCCCCAGAGCTGGCTCTCTCCATGTCAGGGGCTCTCTGGTTTGGGAGTCAGGCAGGACAGAACAGCTGAGCTGGGCCCAGGGCCAGCACAGCAGCTGCTGGCAGTGTTTGGAGACCAGTTCTTTCTCACTGCAGAGAGCCCAAAGGGTGGGAGGGCTGTTGTTCCCAATAATGTTAAATTCAAAGCTAGGTTGTTTAGTAATTCCTTTATTAACAGTATTCCTTTATTAACAAACTAGAGTTAAAATTCCTAAATTATTCACACACGACCAGTTTCTAACTTCAGTGAATAAGGTCAGACCAGAAACCCCGCTGGTTTAAGGCTACAGCCAGTGTCTCCTGGTGGCAGAAAGGCACAAAAAAAGAGTTAGCAAAGATTCAGCTGGAATACCTTGTCCTGTTTGCTCTACCGGTTCTGCTAGAGGAACATTTTAGCAGCACTGCTCAATATCATGTTCTGTTCTGCTCACTGGACCAAAGGCCTTAGCATAGAAAGGAGTAGCACACACACAGTAATGAATTAGGTAAACTGGACATTTGAATAAGATCTGGAAGGCCCAGAGCCAGGATTTTGCAAGCTTGAAGAATTCAGGGCACCTCACTGAAGAGGTCAAACTGAGGAAGACGTCCATGGTGACCAGGAGAAGGATGAAGGCTCGAGGAGAAGACCCCCTGAGCATGTCGGAAAGACTCTGCCCAGAGACTCTGCTGCTAATTAATATGTATGTGAGATGATCTAACCAAGTATCCAAAGTGTATAGTATATATGTAGTATATATAAAGTGTGTATATAAAGAATGTGCAGTAGGTAGTTATGCATGCACACTTTATATATATGTGTGTGTAATATTATTATTTATGGTTTTATGTACTTTTAAATTTTATTTTTTATATACACTATATAGATTTTATATATTTTCTTACATATGCTTATATTTACTCATATGTGCTTTGACTTATTAATTGTATTTTTTATTTCAAAATGTTTACATGTACTTTATTTACCAACAATATTTGTTATTATTTATTAACATATCAAATACATTGCCTAATATAAATACTACAAATAAATATAAAACTATATAAATATATATTCATAATAATATTTATATATTATAAATAAATAAATATTTATAATATTTAAATATAAATATTAAAATTTGATGTATTTAGAGAATATACAGTAGTTACTTATGCATGCATACAGACACTTTATATATGTGTGTTATTATATAATTAATGTTTTTACGTACTTTTAAATTTTATTTTTTATTTTTTATATACACTATATAGATTTTATATATTTTCTTACATATGCTTATATTTACTCATATATGCTTTGATTTATTAATTGTATTTTTTATTTCAAAATATTTACATGTACTTCATTTACCAACAATAATTGTTATTATTTATTAACGTATCAAATACATTGCCTAATATAAATATTAAAAATAAATATAATATATAAATGTATAGATATATAAATAAATATTTACATGTAAATAATAAAATTTGATGTATATAGAGAAAATACAGTAGTAAATTATGCAGGCATATAGACACTTTATATTTGTGTGTGTTATTATATAATTAATGTTTTTATGTACTTTTAAATTTTATTTTTATAGACTGTGTAGATTTCATATATTTACTTATATATGCAAAAATATTTATGTATGTTTATATTTACTAATATGTGCTTTGATTTATTAATTCTATTTTTATTTCAAAATATTTACATGCACTTTATTTACCAACAGTATTTGTTATTATTTATTTATATATCAAATACATTGCCTAATATAAATATTAAAAATAAACATAAAACTATATAAATATATATTCATAATATGTATTTATTCAACTATAATATTTAAATATAAATATTAAAATTTGATGTATATAGAGAATATACAGTAGTTAATTATGCATGCATATAGACACTTTAAGTATGTGTGTGTTATTATATAATTATTTTTTTTATGTACTTTTTAATTTTATTTTTATAGAGACTTTAGAT